AAAAATAAAATAATCCATAGTTATATCTGTTTTTCAATAATTCATTTGGTTTCTTTCTACTTTTATACGGAAAGGGAAAAGCCGCCGGCTGCTGATCAGGTGACCCCCGTCCAGAACTCCCACCAGTCATCTACATTCCATATGCATCCTGCTGACATCTTGCTCACCCTCTTATCTTACTGCAAGCCTACCACGCAGCAACTGTTAAAAAACAGCAGACTCAGACTGCAGACTGCAGTCCCAAATGACGTGAAACGCCCACAATGATCCAGCTGGCAAGAGACCATGTGATGTCTTGCCTAGGTTACAGGTCACATGAGAGCGCTCGGCAGCAGCAGTTTGCTTGGGGCAAGGAAGAGATTCTCTGTACTCAGAATGATAATGTGATGGGGAAATGCTGACACGGGCTCTATTGATTCTTCATGAGTGTAAATTTTCATGACAGGTTCACTTTAATGACTGCAAAGCATTGTGAAGGCTCATGGTGATGTATGCGCTAGGGGACACGGGCGCTGCCGCTGTCGCTTCAGAAATAAACTGTGGCGCATTGCCTGCTGCTGAAATGTCACCGGGGATTTTGTGTTCTTAGTCCTGCTTGTCTCAGCAGAAAACACATTGCAGTGCCGCACGCCATGCTGGTACAATGCCACTCAATATATGGACGAGTTGTCACGGAAAGTCCGCAGAAGGAACCGCTCAGCGCTTACTCATTCACCTGGTTAGAGGAGCAAAAAAAAACCTGAACAGCTGCAATATGTGAACAAATCACCAACACAGAACTCACAACAATGTATCAGATAAAAAGAACAATTATGTGTGTAGAAAGTTCTATAGAGAACAAGAGATATTTGTCAGATGCAGCAAAAGGAACGAGTTTAAAATCTGGATCTCCATATTATTCATCCGAACATTGTGCTAACCGCTAATTGGTGGAGATTGTACAGCAAGAGGAGACGAGGAGCAGAGCTGACATCTACGGGATTACTGGACATGGAAGACAACTGTGGGCTGCAAAATACTGATCTCCACTATACGACCTTCATTTTAAAAATCTATTGTTCTCATTCTAGATAGATAGATAGATAGATAGATAAGGAATGGATAGATGGACAGAGAGAGATAGAGGGGGAGAGAGAGAGAGTGAGAGAGAGATATGGATAGATGGACAGAAAGAAAGATAGATAGATAGATAGATAGATAGATAGATAGATAGATAGATAGATAGATAGATAGATAGATAGGTAATGGACAGTGGCACCACTAGGGAGGTGCGGCCTGCACTGGGCGACACCATTGGAGGGGGTGACACCAAAATGACTGTCAGTCATTTTGGTGTCACCCAATGGCGTCACAAGGGGGGTGTTTCAGGAGAGAGGAGGGGTCCTGGCGACATACCTTATCCCGCCAGGTGAAAATAGATAGATAGATAGATAGATAGATAGATAGATAGGTAATGGACAGTGGCACCACTAGGGAGGTGCGGCCTGCACTGGGCGACACCATTGGAGGGGGTGACACCAAAATGACTGTCAGTCATTTTGGTGTCACCCAATGGCGTCACAAGGGGGGTGTTTCAGGAGAGAGGAGGGGTCCTGGCGACATACCTTATCCCGCCAGGTGAACGTCCCCTCCTCTCTCTGCCGGCATCCATCACCAAGATGGCCGCCGGCAGGTATCAATATGATGACCGCGCATGCGCGATGACGTCATAGCGGGGTGTCACCCGGTATCCACTCCGGGTGACACCCGAACTCGGGAAGCCCCTGGTGTCAACCCCCTCTGAAAAGTGTGGCACTCGGTCATCGACCAAGAGCCCAAGAGTTGCACGAGAGAGGAGGGGACCCGGCGGGTTACGTACTCTCCTCTCTGTGCTTGCTGGCATCCATAGATAGACCAAGATGGCTGCAGGCAAGTAACCACATGATGACGTCATGGCGGGGTGTCACCTGGTGGCTGCTCCAGGAGACCAGGAGACACCATGCCTCCGGACGCCCCTGAGATGGATAGAGAGAGTGAGAGAAAGAGAGAGAGAGAGAGAGTGAGTGAGTGAGTGAGTGAGTGAGTGAGAGAGTGAGTGAGAGAGTGAGTGAGTGAGTGAGAGAGAGAGAGAGAGAGAGCGAGAGAGAGAAAGAGAGATAGAAAAAGAGAGAGAGATAGAGAGAGAGATTGTACAAGTCAGACAATAAAATGAATCTCTGCACTCTGGGCTTCACCAGCATTTCTTGTCTATTATATATCAGGGGTCACCTCAGTCATGTTTCCCTTCTCAAAGACATATTTCTACCATAAGTTGAATATTGCTCTTCCTCTGTTTGTTTTCACATTCCCCGAGTTGTTTGTACAACATGGACACATGATGATTTATTGACATAAAGCCGATCACATTTACCAAATAATAAAATCATAAAAACATATACAGAGATTCTCTTTAGCTGTGAAATGAGACACGAGGAGACACAATGAGAACAATAGAGGGAACGGCTCCTCTGGGGTTATCCGTTGGACTATTTCCATTCTCATCCAGCGCTCTCCATATTTCATCGTCATAAGTGGGATATAATCATTTCCTCCATTTATTGACAATCTGGATAATTAGCATATTTGCCCGGCCAGCGAAGCGCGGCATGAATAATGCAGGGCACAATGCGTGATACTACGTAGCGGGTGTTCGCTGCAGAGCCGCCGAGATGAATTATTCACACTCACAATCTGGCACACGGCGTCCCAGAACAGCGAGAGCTGCAAACACCAAGTGTGCGCCCGGAGAAGTTCCGGATTACGGAGGGAGCGCCGGGCGATGAATTGTATGTACTGTGCAGACCCGCCGCACATTTTATTTCAGCCGCAGTTTTGTCTTGTAACAGCGAATTATGTTTTGTATTTGTTTATGAAGAATTCAAATGCATTTAAAATGTCACTTTATTGTTTTAATAGATAAACACATGGAGGGGAATGTATCAAAACTGGAGCAGTAAGTATCCATGGAAACCGATCAGCTTCTATTGGGCAATTGTGGTTCACACGGCATTCACACCACCAGATGGAGCCAAGGAGCATAGGACTTTGCTATGCTCCTCAGCTTCACCTAGTGGCGGGAATGCTCAGTGAACGGCATTTGCTCACAGCATGGCTGGGTGGAGCATTTATAAATGATCCCCATAACATTTATATGTTTATGTTATATTTCTATTATATTACTGTATTATATTATTTTATATTTATGACCATTGTATGTATTTTGTAGTTCTTTTTTAATCAGGCATATGTGAAATATCCCATATAATAATAATTTTCATGAATAGGTAGCGAGCTCTAGGCAAAGATCACAAGCTTTGCTGGGGCTCAGATAACAGCTGTGTTGAAACAGACTTGAAGAGCAGAGAAGATCAGATTGCACAGACTGCTGAGTGATTCAGAGGAGGGACACGGCTCCATCTTTTACACCGATCAGCCATAACGTTATGACCACTGACAGGAGAAGTGAATAGCGGAGGCAGTGTGATGTTTTGGGTAATGTTCTTCTTGGAAACCTCGGGTCCTGACTCCTGCCATTCTTGTGGATGTTACTTTGACACATACCACCCACCTAAACATTGGGCAGTGGCCTCTTTCAGCAGGATAATGAGCCCTGCCACACTTCAAAGTTGGTTCAAGAATGGTTTGAGGAACACATCAATGGGTTTGAAGTGATGACTTGGCCTCCAAATTCTCCAGATCTCAATCCATCGAGCATCTGTGGGATCTGCTGGAAGAACAAGCCCCATCCATGGAGGCCTCACCTCATATATTAAAGGATGTAAAGGATCTGCTACTGTCGACTTGGTGCCAGATGCCACAGCACGCCTTCAGAGGTCTAGTGGGGTCCATGCCCCGAAGGGTCAGGAAAAAGGGGATCTACTCAATATTAGGTGGGTGGTCATAATGTTATGGCTGTTCAGGGCATAGACAAGGACATATGCAGAAAAAAAAAGCTGGACCAAAACCCAACCTACATTAAAATGTAAGACTCAGGGGTGTATTTATAACAATTCGGAATGCTATTCTTACTGGCAAACTCTGTAAACATTCTTTCTGTGTGAATGGAGGACAAAAACTGACATTCTTGGTTTCTTTTCTTTTCAAGTCAAATGTAATATTAGGACAATACTGCAATCTGGCCACTAGATGGAGCCGAGGAGCATGGGAAATAAATACTTATACCCTATGCTCCTCAGCTCCATCTAGTGGCCAGATTGCAGTATTTTTCAGCTGTGTTTACAGGACAGGAAGTAGAGAAAAAACCTCCCCAACAGGACACATACATCAAATAAATAAATAATAAAAAAAGAAAATTGTAACCATTAAAGATAGCCTGTTGCTTTACCCTAATGACATGGTAATTGATAATACAACGTTCACTTTATCATCAGATACCTTATTAGCAGAGTTTGGTGTCAGTGCAGCCTCGTCCTTCACAGCAGGTAACGCAGTGTGCTCGGCGTCTCTCCCTGGAAGAAGAGAACAATAGATTGGATACAATGACACTGACGAACAGAAAACCATATTATATCACATACGGCTTTACCTCGTGCTTTTATCTGAGCCGAGATTTGCAAAGTATGCACACCCAGGTTCAGGGTTCCTGTGCAGAGGAGGTGCAGACAAGAAGTATAGGAATAGTGAACGCAGGGCGGAAGAACTGAAGCTGAACTCCGGCCACAGAAACTTTTATCTATATTCCTCATTAGCAACAAAGAATATAAATAAATCCACGAAATGCTTTTGCACACCCAGATATTACCTTCAATGTGCTGTGCATGTAGCCTGCGCAGAAAGCAGAGCTGCTCTGGGAGGCATCCACTACAGGCTGCCTGCAGAGAACTACAGGAGTGGGCAGAGACAAGACCAGTCACCCTGCACAAGGAGAGAGCAGCAGTGACCGGTCTTTATTACAGGAGGGGGCGGAGACAAGACCAGTCACCCTGCACAAGGAGAGAGAACCGCAGTGACCGGTCTTTACTACAAGAAGCTCCAAGTCTCACACAAGATTACTGCACAGATCTGGAAGAAATACACAAAGCTCACCAAGATTCCAGGAAGAAGAGCTCTTAGCAACCTGTGATGCTCTGTCTGGTGTCCTGCCCAGCTCCTGGCAACCAATGACATCAGTGAGCTGGGTGGGACACCAGACAAAGCCACGGACAGCACGTTCTGGTGTCTGCCGCTATCGCCCCATGAAGCAATTATTGTTGGAAAGGCCCTGGGCCTGTGACATCTCCCTAAAATGTGAATGCCATTCATCATGAAGAGCTCTCATTTCCTGTTGTGTCTCCAGAACAGGAAGTGAAAGAAAATATCTCCAGCCAGGCAAATGTTTGGTTGGAGTTGGGCTTTAAGTGTGAAAAGCATTGACCCATAGCAACCCAACTCATCCCTTGTGCTGTTCTGATTTCAGCAAAGTCAGTTAGGAATGGTTGCTATGGGTTACCGCACTTTGCAGTTAGTTCTTACATCCTTGAATAGCTTAAAGACCCAACCAGCCTGAGCTCCTCGCAGCCAGCAAAGTGACAGACGGCAGCAGCTCGGCAGTGATGACAGGTCCTCTTTAATGAGATGATTCAGTGCCGACTTCATTAACTATTACTCAGTCCCTAATAATAGATCCGTCTGATGTCTTATTGTAACCTTTTCAGGGTTTTTTCCCCCTCCATTTCAGAAGCTGAAAAGGAAGCAAATGTGCAAATGATCTGATCTGTACCGAGAGAAATAAAGGTTGGCTGCCGGTGACGACAACCCCCTGGAAGTGGTAGTTTTCCATCCTTTTGGTCTGTTTAATGTGCAGCGTTCTGTTCTATCTGTTCAATAAGCGCAAAAAAAAAACACATCCTACCCCAAATCTGGGAGCTGAAGAGCAGAGAGCACTGTGGGGTCGGTTTAACAGTTTTCAAGATTCACCCAACTTTTACCCTAGATTCACACATTTTTCTACCGGAATCTTAGCTGAAGATATATTGTGACCAATAACATTTGTATTATATTGGATTATATTTCCCTTTTGTATCTTTACTCTCTGGTATTGTAGAGCCGATCTATGAAAACCCAAAGAAGGAACAGCAAAGAAAAGGAATATAGCTAGTAGCTGAAAATCCATTTTCATATGACGCTGTCAGGTTATAGAATGAGCATACGTTCTGTACACGCTATGCATGTAACTTGCGCTATTGTTTGTATTAGGGATGCACCGATACCGGTATTTCCAGTACCGATATATTTTTTCCTGTACTCGCCGATACCGAATACCGATACCGGAAGTCCCATTAAGGAAGCCAGGCGGCGTGCAATGACTCGCCATCCGGCTTTCTGAATAGCAGGGAAGCTGTCACCATGCTTCTCGTCACTATGTGACGAGTTAGCATGGAGCCAGCTTTCTGGCCATTCAGGAAGCCGGTGGCCGTGAAATGACGCGGCGCCTGGCTTCCTGATTGGCCGGGAAGCCAGCTCCATGCTCCCTCGTCATGAGGTGACGAGAGAGCATGAAGCCAGCTTCCCGGCCAATCAGAAAGCCGGGCGCCGCGTCATTACACAGCGCCCGGCTTCTGATTGTCCAGCTTCCCGACCAATCAGGAAGCCGGGCAGCGAGTCATTGCACCCTGCCCGGCTTCCTGATTGGCCGGGAAGCTGGCTCCATGCTCTCTCATCACAAGTGATGAGGGAGCATGGAGCCGGCTTCGCCGCCAATCAGCGTGTAATGATGCACTGCCTGGCTTCCTAATACAGGAAGTATCGGGAAAGGCATTGGAGCATTTGGGCGAGTACGGTTACTCGCCCAAATGCTCAACATCGGCACCACTACCGATACTAGTATCGGTATCGGTGCATCCCTAGTTTGTGTGTGTATATATATATATATATAACTGTGTGTCAGTACAAACTGCAGCTGTCAGTTAATCTGAATGTTCCTTGGCAGGGCTGGCACTAGAAACACTCACCCGTGCTCAGGGAATGGATGTCATGGTCGGCTCCGAACGAGAGGTTCCTCGTCAGCTTGTTGCTGTCGTTCTTCTGAGCGGCGATGGCGGTCGGGCACAAGGAGAATCTGCGGCGGAGGAAGTTTTCCTCCTTCATAGTGTGCGCTGGCGAAGTTTTCTGTAAAGAATCACATGGACACATTAATCACAATGACGGAGGACGGAGATGTCAATATTGTTGGCAATTGTCGCATTGGGCAAAACGATAAGGATCGGTTTTATCGCCATGTACACCGCCCCGCACCCATCGCATGCCAAAGTCTTGGGGCTGGTGCACACAGGCATAAAGACAGAATATTCTACAGGCTTTTCTACTCTGTTCCCCATCAGTATGCTGAAGAAGGACCCTTACTTTCTGTGTGGAAGCAGCGGTCTCTCTGTGGAGGTCTCATTAACCCCCTGCTCAGCTAGAACTCTCCAATCAGCAGGGCGCATGAGTTCTGCTAAATGTTCTGACTCAGAAGGGGGCGTGTTGTAATGTTGCAGAGAGGCCACTGCTCAGCAGAACTCACATATTACACTGGTAGGAGAGTTCTGACTCACGAGGGGGGGTGTCAGACTTCTGCAGAGAGACCACTGCTTCCACACAGAGAGCTAGGGACTTCTCTGCAGCATGCCAGCAGGTAACAGGTTTATCACAGCTGAGAAAATAAAGGCACACAAAGAAAACCTGTCACAAGCAAAATAAACATGATAAAAGTGACCGTGTGCTGTAACCGGCGCTCTTATATAAAGTCCATCTATAGTGACAAAGCCTCGGCAGTGGCATCCAGTGCGGTCGGTACTGCGATTGCATCGTTTTGCCGCTCTCCATAAGATTATCATTACTCGCAGGTCTTGTACGCCATGCTTATGAGTAATGCCACTAGCCTGTGTGCAAGTGGCTGGAACAAGATTATCTCCATGAAAAGCTTCTAAATTTAGACACCTCGGCGCTCGATAATACATCAAAACTGATTTCATATAAACCAGAAGACGGCGGCTATTGCAGCGGTTACATAAAGCCACTCAGGGAGCAATCTTCGCCTGTCGTTTAACGTTTGCAGAGGAGCTGCGGGGCGTAATCAGGCAACTAGGGTGGCTGAGCCGTCTCCCCCCCCCTTCCCCCGCCCCACCAGTCAGAGCGAGAAGACGTTGTCACCATGATTAGGGGGGACCTTAGTCCACTATACAGGGACATACGTAGATCCTGCTTGAGAGCTGGACCCTAAGATAAGCAGATACTGTCCTCATACGAGGGTCATGTGTATACTTCTTTAATCTTGGTGAGCTTTATGTATTTCTTCCAGATCTGTCCAGTGTGAGACTTGGAACTTCTTGTAATAAAGATCGCTCACTGCTGCTCTCTCTGCTTGTGCAGGGTGACTAATCTTGTCTCCGCCCCCTCCTGTAATAAAGACCACTCACGGCTGCTCTCTCTGCTTGTGCAGGGTGACTGGTCTTGTCTCCGCCCCTCCTGCAATCAAGACCGGTCACTGCTGCTCTCTCTGCTTGTGTAGGGTGACTGGTCTTGTCTGCGCCCCCTCATGTAACAAAGACGAGTGGTCTTGTCTCTGCCCCCTCCTGTAATAAAGACAGCTCACTGCTGCACTCTCTTCTTGCGCAGGGTGATTGGTCTTATCATGCAAAGGCATTTGGTGCATGCAAAGTGGATTTATATCCTTTGTGGCTATTGAAGAATACATTTCAATGATATTATTCCTGCCCGGGGTTCAGCTTTAAAGTAGATCTAAATCTAATAACTTAAATCTCATATAACAATTAACATTTTATTGTCATTTTTAAAGCTTGTTTGCAGTCTAAAAAACACAATGTAATATATTGTAGCATGCTCTTTGCACTGTGGCACACCTTATTGGCTCATTGTGCTGTTCCCCCACTGCTACAGGCACTGCAAGATGCTGATACCACGGCAAATTCAGGTAATATAATAATACATTAATGAATACCATTCTGCATCAGCTTTTTGAAATAAATGTAAGAAGATACAATGTTACAATTTAAGAGGATCCTGAAGGGAATGAGCATATAAATGTAACCTTTGACACTACGGGCATAGCAATAGTTACATTTATATTCTCATTCCCTCCAGCGTTCTCTTGAATTGTATCTCATTACTAACATGTATCTATTTCCTAGCGCCATCTAGAGGCCATAATGCAGTAGCTTCCCCATTCACTCTGTTCTGTACGGATGCTGATTGGCCGTGAAGCCTGACCGGCAGTGCTGCGAGGAAACATGTAGCCAACTTCCTGGCCAATCAGGATACCGGGCAGTGGGTAATGACTTTCTTTTCCTCCTCATTCTTCTCAAAGTGGCCAAGTTTACTAAGAGCAGATGAATATATCTCTTTGTACTTCCTGGAACTCTGGAACCTGTGACTAGGACATGTGACCATGCACATGATCTCAGGGGAGGAAAATGCCTTTCCCTGAGGTCTCAGGAGATTACAGATGAGATTTCCCAGCAATGCTCTGCTGATGCAAACTTCCCAGGGTGCTACGCTTGGGCACATGACATCACTAATGCCCGGGAAGACCAGGAAGTGGAAAAATAGGAAATTGTAAGTAAAATAAGATATGTTTGTTTAACTAATGAATGCAAGATGATTTCATATCAGTATGCAGAGGTGATTTTTATTCATAGGGGGTAAAGGTCCGCTTTAAGCATACATCCGGGGTTGGGTGCTTCAAGGGTGAACCCTCTTCCAGTGGCGGAACTACCGCCGGTGCAGGCGGTGCGGGCGCCCGGGGCCTCAGGCTCTGGAGGGGCAATATCACACGATGCCGGCGCCCTTTCTACTTGTTCTGTAGAGTTGCGGAAAGCTGCAAAGCCGCAGATATCATTATTTATTCATATGGGAACATCTCAATGAACTCTGAATGGAAGTAACTTCAACAGAAGGACTGTATCCTCTCTCCGCTGACACTTTGTATCTTTTTGTATCAGCGAGTCGATGCCAAATATACCAAAAATAGATTTTGGGTTTACATCCACTTAAAGAAAATATCTCCTACCCCCTTCCTTC